CTTTAACGATCAATAATTTGTAACACATTACTGAGGCAAAGATGTTTATCTTAACAATTTACAACAATATATGATAAGATTCTGATCATACGTTACGTAATAAGGGGTCACAAGGGGCCAGAATGCTAAATCTTTGACGCTTTATATCTCGAAAAGGGCGAATATTTTGATAAGCAATACTGAACAAAAGATGGTCAGAATAATGCTCTAAACAATATGCACCCTTTCAATTTTTATCAAACGGCCCCATTAAGGACTTGGAGGGGTGGCCCCTAAATATTTCCATTCAGCATATCTCCACAACGAAAAGAAATCTCTGAATAGTTGTTGAACAAAAAATGTTTAAAATCACAAGACTTTTCATTTGATGCCAAGAAAAAGGGGCTGACCCCTCAAATTAAGGGCTCAGAGGGGCCAAACGTCTTTCATCTATAATTCTTCAACGATCAATAATTTGTAACACATTACTGAAGCAAAGATGTTTATCTTAACGATTTACAACAATATATGATTAGATTCTGATCATATGTTACGTAATAAGGGATCACAAGGGGCCAGAATGCTAAATCTTTGACGTTTTATAACTCGAAAAGGGCGAATATTTTGATAAGCAATACTGAACAAAAGATGGTCAGAATAATGTTCTAAACAATATGCACCCTTTCAATTTTTGTCAAACGGCCCCATTAAGGACTTGGAGGGGTGGCCCCTAAATATTTCCATTCATCATATCTCCACAACGAAAAGAAATCTCTGAATAGTTGTTGAACAAAAAGTCTTCAAAATCACAAGACCTTTTATTTGATATCAAGAAGAGGGGGCTGACCGTTCAAATTAGGGGCTCAGAGGGGCCAATACTCTTTCATCTATAACTCTTTAATGATCAATAATCGGTAACACATTACTGAAGCAAAGATGCTTATCTTAAAGATTTACAACAATATATGATAAAATTCTGATCATATGTCACGTAATAAAGGGTCAAAAGGGGCCAGAATGCTAAATCTTTGACGCTTTATATCTCGAAAAGGGAGAATATTTCGATATGCAATGCTGAACAAAAGATGGTCAGAATAATGTTCTAAACAATATGCACCTTTTCAATTTTTGTTAAACGGCCCCATTAAGGTCCTGGAGGGGTGGCCCCTAAATATTTCCATTCAGCATATCTTCACAACGAAAAGAAATCTCTGAATAGTTGTTGAGCAAAAAGTCTTCAAAATCACAAGACCTTTCATTTGATATCAAAAAAAGGGTTGACCCCTCAAACTAGGGGCTCAGAGGGGCCAAAAGCATGTCATCTATAGCTCTTTGATAATGTTATATAAATCAAAAGAATGAAATCTAATTAGGGAAGTCTATATATTATTATTTTTAACAAAGATCATAGACAAAATCCTATCTCATCTTATCGAAAAATCGGACGGAAGACCTACTCGTTGCTCGCAACGAGATCTCATCTAGTTATTATTATTTTTTTCTGTCCAAATTTTGTGCAGACGATTTCTCAGAGATGGTTGGACGGATTCACTTGAAATTTTCAGAGATGATGTATCATGATCTAAACCTTATTCATTTTTTTAATTTTTTGGAAATTCACTTCCGGTCGGAAGTTATCGCCCTTTAATCGAATTTTTAGTGACCATTTTGTCTACACAAAAACTCAAAAACGACAAAAGACAGAGTGCTGAAATTTTCAGTGATAATAGAGGACATGTTCTAGTTGTGCACCTCAGTTTTCAAATTTTCTGGAAGTGCCTAGTATGGAAGCTCGGTAGGAGTCAAAATTTAGGACATGAATCAGGAGTGAATTTTCGAGACATTTTTTATCATATCTTTAAAACTATAAATATATTCTTAAAACATATTGAACAGAAATTGTGCAGAATTACTAGATCTTTTATATGATATCAAGAAAAAAGGGCTGACTCATCCCATTAGGGGCCAAAAGGGGCAAAAAGTCTTAAATCTATAACTCTTTAACGATCAATATTTTGTTATACATTACTGAAGCAAAAATGTTTATCTGAACAATCTACAACTATATATTATAATAAAAATCTCATATGTTACATAATTAGGGACCATAAGGGGCCAGAATGCTAAATCTTTGACGCTTTATATCTCGAAAGTGGGAAATATTTTGCTAAGCAATATTGAACAAAAGATGTTCAAAATAATGTTCTAAACAATATGCAACCTTTCAATATTTGCTAAACATCCCCATTAAGGAGTTGAAGGGCCGGCCCCTAAATATTTCTTTTGCATATATCTCAGTAACGAAAAAGAATTTCTGAATAGTTGTTGAACAAAATATGTTCAAAATCATAAGAGCTTTAAGGTGAAATCAAGAAAAAGGGGCTGGGCCCTCCAAATCGGGGCCGAGAGGGGCCGAAAAACTTTCATCAATAACTCTTTAACGATCAATATTTTGTTATACATTACTGAAGCAAAAATGTTTATCTGAACAATCTACAACTATATATTATAATAAAAATCTCATATGTTACATTATTAGGGACCATAAGGGGCCAGAATGCTAAATCTTTGACGCTTTATATCTCGAAATTGGGAAATATTTTGCTAAGCAATATTGAACAAAAGATGTTCAAAATAATGTTCTAAACAATATGCAAGCTTTCAATATTTGCTAAACGTCCCCATTAAGGAGTTGAAGGGCCGGCCCCTAAATATTTCTTTTGCATATATCTCGGAAACGAAAAAGAATTTCTGAATAGTTGTTGAACAAAATGTGTTCAAAATCATAAGAGCTTTAAGGTGAAATCAAGAAAAAGGGGCTGGCCCCTCAAAATCGGGGCCGAGAGGGGCCGAAAGTCTTTCATCAATAATTGTTTAACGATCAATATTTTGTAAAATATTACTTCAGCAAAAATGTTTATCTGAGCAAACTACAACTATATATTATGTTATTCAAATCACATGTTACATAATTAGGTGTCATGAGGGGCAGAAATACTAAATCTTTGACGCTTTATATCTCGAAAGTGGGAAATATTTTGCTAAGCAATATTGAATTAAAGATGTTCACAATAATGTTCTGAGCAATATGTAACCTTTCAATTTTTGCTAAACGTCTCCATTAAGGAGTTGAAGGGCCGGCCCCTAAATATTTCTTTTGCATATATCTCGGAAACGAAAAAGAATTTCTGAATAGTTGTTGAACAAAAAGTGTTCAAAATCATAAGAGCTTTAAGGTGATATCAAGAAAAAGGGACTTGCCCCTCAAAATAAGGGTTGATAGGGGCCGAAAGTCTTTCGTCAATAACTCTTAAACGATCAATATTTTGTAATACATTACTAAGGCAGAATAGATCATCTTCACACTCCTTAACTATATAACGTTGTTGGCATCATATGTTACGTTATAAGGGGACAATAGGGGCCAGAATGCTAAATCTTTGACGTTATAAGGGGACATTAGGGGCCAGAATGCTAAATCTTTGACGCTTTATATCTCGAAAGTGGGAAATATCTTGATAAGCAATATTGAATAAAAGATGTTCACAATAACGTTCTGAACAATATGTTACCTTTCAATTTTTTCTAAACGTTCCCATTAAGGAGTTGAAGGGCCGGCCCCTATTATTTCTTTTGCAGATATTTCGGAAACGAAAAAAAAAAAGTAGAATAGTTGTTGAACAAAAAGTGTTCAAAATCATGAGAGCTGTAAGAAGATATCAAGAAAATAGGGCTGGCCCCTCAAAATAGGGACCAAGACGGGCCGAAAGTCTTTAATCTATAATCTTTAATGATCAACATTTTGTTATAGATTACTGAAGCAAAATTGTTCGTCTTAACAATTTATTTATATCATTATATTTGAACGAAAGTCTCAGTCAAATTCTTATCTCATCTTATCAAAAATCGGACGGAAGACCCACTCGTTGCTCGCAACGAGATCGCATCTAGTTATTAAGGTCTTCCGTCTTCAGCGGAAGACCTTCTTGTTATTCTTCGGTTTCTTTTCCACTGTTTTTCTTATTATTTTTTTTCTTACCGATTTTGTGCACGCAATTTCTCGAAAACGGTTCGCTCGATTTTTATGAAACTCTCAGGTCTGATAGAACATTAAAAAATCTTGATACATATTTTTTTATTTTGATGACGTCACTTCCGGTCCCAAGATTTTTGCGATTTAGTGATTTTTGGAGGGTCAGTTTGTCCGCAGGTTTTCTAAGAAACCACTCATCACAGGAACGTGAAACTTTTAGGGAAGACAGAGCAATATTTGTAGATCTGTAATACGTAGTTAACTTTCACCGGAAGTGCCACACGTCGACGCTCGCTATGGCCTGAAAAAAGTAGTATCGAAAGTTTCAAAATTTCGAACACTTTCTGTACTATATCTTTTTACTCGGAAATATTTTGTTAAAACATATATAACAAAATTTGTGCAGAATTATAAGATCTTTTAAATGATATTTCGAAAAAAGGGCTGGCCCCTAAAATAAGGAATCTAAAGGGGCCAAAATATTTTTCCTGATATCTCAAAAAGTATTTAGAATTTGTAATACTTCAAAGAAGCAAAATTGTTCAACATGACAAGTAGCAGCTTGCGAGATCATCAAAATGCGTCAAATGACGTCACTTCCGGCCAAACAGGAAGTAGTAGAGAATAGCTTATTTTCACAGATATTGGTACAGTGCTGCTATCCCACAAGTTGACATGGGATTGGATTGGATAGGATTCAGGATTGAGGATTCACGATAGAAACATATAGTAGTTAATCCAACCCTATCCTATCCTGTATCCTACAGCCTTCAGATTGGAGTAAAGGTTAATTCATATTTCAAAATAAATTACAGAAACGCAAAAGGACATAGAACGTTTACAAAAGAAATATTTATAAAATCACAAAAGAAAATAAACATTTTTTTTTTCTTAACACACATTTATTCTGTTACCTTCGAGTAATATGGCGTACGATCTAACCGTGAACGATCACCGGAAGAAGTTTCGCATGTAAACAAAGAAGAGATCGGACATCAAAAGATCGTATTTCTTCAGCATGTTTGGATGATTAACTCGATTCCTACTTGTGTTACAGTTCAGTAACATGTTTCTCTGTTAAATGTGCTCTGTTTGTCTTGATAATTCCACTTGAACCGTCAGCGGCGGACTATAACAGATCATAATCGCAGTTGTTTGGTGCAAGACCATGTAAGTATACTACACACTGTAAATGTGTGCATGTTTATACATATCTCTCCCTTTAAGCAATGACTTGAACTATTTAAATTTTATTCTATTGTAATATACACAGAAATCGGATGCGGAAAAAAGAGGTTGTGTAGAAAGGAGACGGGTAGGGGGGTTAAATACTTTGTCACATGATCAGATGTATTACACCTTTTTCAGTTTGTTATTGCTATATAATCATTTCCCTACTGTGGTTAAAAAATATTTTTTCTTATCTGATTGCAATTTAAAATAATTAAATGCAGAATCCTCATGATCATTTCTTATGCTACTGTCAGGTCTGGTACAATCACTAGATTTAGCTACATAGCTTGAATTACCTACATAGCTTTATTTACCTACCTGAAGTAGCTTTATTTAGCTACAAAATCAAACTTATTTCTTAAATAAGAATTTTTCCCAGAAAGTGCAGAAAACTGCACTTTGATGCAGTGATAATTTTCAACTTTGAACTCATCTGAAAACAATTCATGAAAAAATCAATCTTGGAGATGTGTCTTTTTTTTTTGCGCAATTGCAATCAAAGTTCTAAAAGTTTTGGGGCTATATACAACAGTTAATTTGTGACCTAACAGTTACTTCTTGAGTGTAATAACAAAGAAAACCAGTTTTGGTTAACATGAGCACAATGTGAAGTAATCATACTTATCCAGCCTCATCGCACACAAGGTGTGTACAGTTACTCAAACAATGGGAATACATATTTTAAAAGTGATCAAACGCAGCAATGTTAAAACTATCTCTGCCTCGGATTGCTTTTTAAATGATACCTAGAATAAATATTAGTAGATATTTTCTTGCGACTTTTTGTCTTTTTAAAATAAAAAGCAAAATTGTGAAAAGTCGCCTTGAAATAGCTAAATAAAGCTGCCTGAGGTAAGTAAATAAAGCTATGGTAGGTAATTTTAGCTACGTAGCTAAATGTACTGACTGCGTATAATAAGCTCCCTCAGCACTTGCATGTACATTGTATGTATGACCTATTGTGAGTTAAACATAAAACATGTAAATAAATTAATCATTTATTATTATTCTTCATTCTAGAGAATGGTACCCAATTTTGCCTGCCCTCATCAGTCATCACAATATAAAGGATTTAACCTTTAGAAGTAGGTATGATTAGATTTTTTTTTTTTGTTTATGCATGTATCATTAAAATACGTAAAAATCATTATCTAAGTTGAGATGAAGTGTCTGCAGATTTTATGAATAAGTGATTTTCTTCTTTTTAAAATGTTGACAGTAAAACTGAAATTAATATATAATTGTTCTGGTCATCATGGTCATGTTATATGTATCTTCATTTTTTTTATATTCAAATTTCGAGCAAAAAATGAAAAGAAATTAACAAACATATTAAATAGATTAATACAAGCAGAAAATAGAGAGAAAAAAACATCCAAACATGTACTCATACTAGTTAGTTAGCAAGTTGACAAGATGAAATGAATTATAATCTACAAGTAAATTATGTAAATTATGATTGTTTAATTAAGATATGAGTTATGACTATGAAGTTGCAGTATAAGATTTGATTTTGCTTGATTTCTTTAAAATTAATGCATTTATAATACTCTGGGAGAGAAAAAGGTGAAATTAAGACAATTGTACATGAAATGAGAAAGATAATCACAATCAAATACAGTTTTAATGTATATGACAAAATTTACAATCTACATGCATATAATGGTGTGTGTTTTTTTCTTCAGGACAATCCTGCAAATTTGCAGCTGTACAAATTGCACTTCATCTCATCTGCTGCTGGAATAAATAATGAAAGATTTTCAAACCAGTGTCCAAGAGCCCCCTAGTCTGAAAAGAAGGTGTTCTTTATTAAGGAGATCATTGTGTGATGTATTTGTTTTCTGTGCATTGATGACATTTGTGAAACTGTTCGGTTACTTTATGACCATCTCTCTGACAACTACTTTGACATTTGAAATTCAATTTGAGCGACGGAAAAGCAGACCAAATAATATGCATGTAAAACATTATACAATTGTAATAAGTCATTGATAAACTTCAATTTAAACAAACTAGATGTACATGTATCTTTGAGCTTGGCATTGAAATACATGTATACTTTACATGGACACTTTTAATGAATTTGTCTCATGATAATGAACATTCAGTTGTTATACATTGTAAATATAAATTGTAGATAATATGTATTTGGTCCAAAATATATAATTATATTTATATTCACTGAAAAAAAGGAATTACCCTGAATAAATATTGTGAACTTGGTCAATTATTTTTATTCCTCATTTAGACACTGAATAACATTCAAGATCAAATGTCAAGGTCAAAAACAAGATTTACTTAAATTTGGGTTATAAATACTGTAACAACTGTGGACTCTTATGCATGTTTTATAAGATCTAAGGAATATGTGTGAGCTTACTACAAAAATTATTGCTGTCAACCTGTCTGACTATGAAGATTTAGGAAAATGTTTTCTGTTAAACATAAATTGATTAAATTGTCACACATAAATATTTTTTTTAATTAAGATACACTTGTATGGCACTGAACTGACCATAAATTGAGAACAAACTGAAGTGAAATAAGAAATTTTAACATTTTGAATATCTTGATTTTATTTAATAGCAAACATGATGAAAATGTTGCATGTTTGTTAAATATTCACATACAAACAAATGATGAACTGAACATTTCAAACAAAAATAACTTTAATAATAAATATAAAACAAATTTTTATCATACATTTAAAATTGAATATAATAAGACAATTTTAACTTATTTAATAAATGAAAGTCAACATATTCTAGATCTAAATTTTGACTTGTCTGTTTTCGGTTTATGGTCTTGTCATATCTTGAAGTTCTTATAAAGATTTACGTCTAAAGTAAAATCTAATATACAACTGATATAGGTGCAGTTAGATCTATATGTTATTTTTGTGATGCCCAGTTAAGGGAAAAATAAAGTTTTGCATAAATTTTACATGAACAGATGAAACATACACTTGTTAAAACATAAAACAAATCATACTTTTGTCATTATTTAGTATGTATAGACATGATAGAGAAATTGTTTCTTCAATGGGTATGGTTATAATTCAGTGTACCTGCCCCGCATGAAAGATTTGGTATTCGTGGTCTGATTCTTATAAAGAGTTTAAATTTTGTTCCTTTTGTCTACTTTATCATAACCTTAGAAAAGTATCTGCAATCTTTATTGTTTCCCCCTTTTTCTCTCTCTAATTTTAACTCCAATTACTTTTCATAGAGAACAAATTCAAAAAGAAATCACAAATACCTTGACGTCTCCCGATCATTGTTAGTATGTAAAATTAAACACAAATAAAGTTTAACTATATTTTTTTCTTTAATTCTTCCGAAGTTCCAATTTCTTCATTGCTAGATCAATACTTGCTTACGTTTTATTACAATCCTTTTGTACCGTTCACGGTAGCTCAGTCGGTAGAGCGCTCGCTCCGTGATCGGGAGGTCGTGAGTTCGAATCTCGGCCGCGACAGACCCAAGTCGATAAAATGGGTAGCAACTGTTCCTTCGCCATGCGCTCAGCACTTTGAAGTGAAAGTTGCGGGTCCTTCGGATGAGACCTTAAAAACCGAGGCCCCGTGTCACGGAAGGCGTTGGCACGATAAAGATCCCTCACTGCTCAATGGCCCTGAGTGCAGAGTAAAGGTCAAAATTTGAAGCCCTTCACCGGTATATGGTGACGTCTCTATATGAGTGAAAAATTCTCGAATGGGACGTAAAACAACATACAATCAATCAATCAATCCTTTTGTTTACATTTTAACTGGTTACTCGCAAATTAATTCGTGAGAGGTGTCGGAAATTAATGGATGTCGATCTCGATTATTTTTTCTCCATTAAAATTTATTACATTTAAATTAATTACATAACTATAACTGATTTTTATTTGATGGTCATTTTATAATTTTTTTTCATTTTGTCAAATTAACTCTTTAATATTTAAAAAAAACTGAGAGCAATAGGATAGGATAGGATTAGACTGAAATCACAGGATAGGATTGTGGATGCAGGATTCACGATAGGATAGGATAGTATTGTCAACTTATTGGATAGCAGCACTGTATTGAATTGAATTATGCATGTCACAGAGGACGTCTGATTGTATTTCCTGTCGAGTATCGTCTCTTTTGTCAACTTCGGCTAAACCGGAAGTAACTATAAATGACGTATTTCTGCAGATATCAACATAAAATCAAATGATGGAATTCAAACAAGACTTTTGACCCAATTTTCTGTCGATTGGGGTCACTTCCGGTCAAACCGGAAGTAGTCTTGATTTGCCTTATTTAACGAAAATCAGCATAAAAATCATAAAAAAACTAAATACAGATCAACATAATTTTTGGTCTGGAGGTCTTCTTTTTAACGAATACTTTACTTTCATTTATCCATCTTACAAGCAGTGCTTCTGAAAATCGGACGGAAGACCTACTCGTTGCTTTGCAACGAGCTTTGCTCTAGTTATTATTATTTTTCTTCTTCTTCTTCTTCTTCCTGGGTACTTTTTTGTCCGCGAGTGATCTCGTCAACTACTCATCCGATTGAGGTGAAACCTTTTTAGGGTTAATAGGCATGTTATGTAGATTTGCGGAATCAAGGTCATTTTGCGCGCACGTGCATGCACGTGCGTGCGCGTGCAATGCGTAAAATGACTAATATACTTGATATAGCTGTAACTTTTATATATTTAGATGAAATGCTTTGATACTCAAAATATAAGGATATATTAAAAGTGTAAACAAGATGACATGGTCAACATGCACATGCATGCACGTGTGCGCACGCGCAAAGCGTAAAATGACAAATATACTTGATATATTCGTAGCTTTTATACTTTTTGATGAAATGCTTTGATACTCAAAATATTTATATATATTAAAAGTGTAGACAAGATGACATGGTCATCATGCACATGCATGCATGCACGTGCGCGCGCGTGCAATGTGTTAAATGACCAATATACTTAATATAGCCGTAATTTTTATATTTTTTTATGAAAAGTTTTTATATTAAGAATATACAGATATATTAAAAGTGTAGACAAGATGATGTGGACATCATGCTCATGAATGCAGATGCGCGCGCGTGCAATGTGTTAAATGACCAATATACTTAATATAGCCATAACTTTTATATTTTTTTATGAAAAGCTTTGATACTAAGAATGAACAGACAAATTATAAGTGTAGACAAAATGGCATGGTCATTAGGAACATGCATGCAGGTGCGCATGCATGCAATGCTAAGATGACCAATATACTTGATATAGCCGGAACTTATTTATTTTTTGACGAAATGTTTTGATACTGAGAATATAAAGATGCATTAATAGTATAGATGAGATGACATGGTCATCCTGCATATGCATGCCCGTGCGCGCGCGTGAAATGCAAAAAACGATCAATATACTTCATTGCCTTATTTAATGAAGCTTACAGGAAATAAGACACCAAGAGGGTGTTGGGGAGCGTTTGGGGAACATCTGTAACGGTCCCCGTTACAATTAATACTAGTTAATATTATATTTATTAAGTAAAACACCAGCGCCAAGGAATCTATCTGAATAGTTCTTGTGAATTGCCTTGTGAGGTTTTCTACAATATCAGTTACCGACTATGACACTCTGAACATTTATTGAACTCGTTCAATCTCTTGATCGACTTGAATTTGATCCAAGCATTTGATGTCCACAATTTCAAAAGAAATGTTGAATGTTTCATGCTGAAATATATTTGCAAAAGTGACACTAATTATGGATTTTAACAACAATAAATATAAAAGTTGAAGATATCAGGATCAGTGGTATAAATGAGTTTTGAGATCCCTTTATAGGGACGAAATTTCTCAAAATCGTATGCCAGTTTTAAATCATTTTAATATTCCTAACAATCAAGATGAATTTGAATTACCATACCTACATTATATACCTACACTGGACTACTAAACTTCATAAAAATCTTTAAAAAAAAATCCTTACCAAGATACATAGCAGGTTCCAGAAAATGTTCTAGCTACCAATCCTCTTTCTTCACACCTCACTAAATATTAACAGCAGTGAAGGAGAAACTTCAGGAGCACTGTACAGCAATATATTCGAGAAGTGGTGCTAATCAGATGTGGATATTAAAAAATTCAAAAGAACTTTTAGATACTTTGAAATCAAAAATTGTTACCAAAATCAATAACATTAAAACGTACTTTTCAACACTTTATACAACTATTCCCCACGATAAATTAAAGTCCAGGGTTTTTAACATCACTGACAGCTGCTTTTTCAATAAAAATGGAACTCGTAAATTTATTTCCAAACACTTGCTGTGGCCTTCAACTCGACATTTAGAAATATCGACAACGTATTGTCAATTAACAATGGTTATTTCCATTCTTATGTCGATACGATATATCCTGGTGAGCTTGAGATAAATATACTACAGAGTCTGACACCTCTGTTTCATATTCGGCTATTTTACTAGAAAAAGACGTTAATGGAAATCTAACACAAGCTTTATGATAACCGTGATGACTCTAACTTTTCTAATTGTCAACTTAATTATTCCCTTACTTGTGCAGCAATATACCTTCATCCCCTGCATATTGGGTTTATATCTCTCAGTTGATTCGACACATAAGAGCATGCTCTACGTATGAACATTTTCTAAAACGAGGTACGTTATTGACAAAGGAGTTGATGAAACAAGAATATCAGCAGTCTCGTTTAAAGTCGTCATTTGGCTAGTTCTGTAGTCGATACAATGACCTTGTCATTAAATACA